GACTTTCAAAGGTCATTTAAGTTTGAGCCGGCATTAATTACCATGAATGCCATCTCAGCGAACGTCAGGAACATTTTATTTAAAAAGGGCATTTCCAACGGTAAAATATGTCCATAGGAGTTGTGTGTGGAGTGTGTGTGTGTTCACTTGGTTGTTTTTAGAATTAATCAGGCTCACAAGAACAGGATAGTCAGTAGAATGGTGTGGATCAAGGAGCAGGTTCAACAAACTGAAGGATGTTTTCTCCACTTAACTTTTACTTTAGTGACGTACTTACCCCACCTAAGTCAGCAGAATCGTCATAAATGTTCTCTGTATTTTTACTTTGGAGTAATTATGGGATTGTTGCTGTCTGGACTGTGGTGTGTGTGCACTAAACCAGAGCATGCAGTAATAAAATAAAAAAGATTTGTCACTGATTGACGCAATGTTCGATCAAACCGTAGACGACAAATAGCTTTTCATTTTCATTCTTTGTTTTTGTTCTTCTTCTCTTGGTATTAAATAGATACTACTCAAGTTTCAAGTTTTAATGTCACATGCACAAGTACAGTGAAATGCCTTTCTTGCAAGCTCTAACCCCAACAATGCAGTAATCAATAACAATATAATACTAAAAGTAACAAGGTAGAACAAAAACACACGATATATAAAAACATGAAGAACACAATAAAGTAAGTAAGCATACTATATACAGGGTCAGTTCCAGTACCATACAATGTGCAGGGATACTGGATCGATAGAAGTAGATATGTTTAGGGGTAAGGTGACTAGGCATCAGGATATATGATGATTGTGTGTGAGAGTGGATGTGTGTAGAGTCAGTATAAATGTATGTGCATATTATGTGTGTGTGAGCAAATTATGAAGTGAGTGTTTGTATGTGTGTTGGAGTATCAGTGTGTGTAGTGTGTAGGGCTGAGTGTGCATAGTGCCAGTGCAAAATTAAGAATAAAATATGAAGGTCAACTCAGATAGTCCATGTAGCCATTTTGTTAGCTATTTAGCAGTCTTATGGCATGGGAATAGAAGCTGGTCAGGAGCCTGTTGATGTCAAACTTGATGCACCAGTACCGCTTGGCGTCCGGAAGAAGAAATAACTACTACTACTAATAATAATAATAATAATGTATTACATTTTTAAAGCACTTTTCAAAACAAAATAATTTAAAAGTGCCTAAAATAAAAGATAAACTAGAAAAAGGAATATAAGATAAGAGTAACTCTTAAATAATGTAATTATCCATATTTACCACCAGGGGTCAGTATGAGGCTTTATCAGACTCAAAATCTACAAGCGTCTTCACTGACATTTTCAACCTATTTGTAATACCATCTTGTTTCATGCAGGCCACCATAGTCCCCGTGCCCAATAATGCCAAGGTAACCTGCCTAAATGACTATTTCCTCATAGCACTTACATCTATAGCCATGAAATGCTTTGAAAGGCTAGTCATGGCTCATATCAACACAATCATCCCAGACACACTAGACCCACTCCAATTCGCATACCAACCCAACAGATCCACAGATTACCCAATCTCTATTGCACTCCACACTGTCCACACCCACCTCGACAAAAGGAATACCTATGCCTTCAGAAAGCATTCACAATATAATAGTGTTTAACATGATTTTTGAATGACTACCTCATCTCTGTACCCCACATATACAATTATCTGTAAGGCCCCTCAGTCGAGCAGTGAATTTCAAACACAGATTCAACCACAAAGTCCATTGAGGTTTTCCAATGCCTCGCAAAGAGGGAAAAATTGAATATCCCTGTGAGCATGGTGAAATTAATCATTACACTTTGGATGGTGTATCAGTACGTCCTTCCTAACTCTGTTGCCGGAGATGAAGGAAACTGCTCAGGGATTTCACCATGAGGCCAATGGTGACTTTAAACAGTTACAGAGTTTAATGGCTGTGATAGGAGAAAACGGAGGATGGATCAACAACAACATTGTAGTCCACAATAGTAACCTAATTGACAAGAGTGAAAAGAAGGAAGCCTGTACAGAATAAACACAAACACACACACAAACACCTGAGACCTCATCTCTTCCAGAGAGAGAGGTGGAGCATATCAACAGTATCTCAGTAGGAACCTTCAGCCGTTGTTAGATCAAAGTCGCACTGCACACTGCACCGTCAACAATGTGCCTTTAAAAAGCGTTTTATTTTATGTTTGCGGAGATCGCAATCACAGTAAACTGCGGATCAAGCGTAAATTACTTTTAAAAGTCAACAACGCACCTTGGATTAAAGCCCGGTCTTCGGCTCTACCACCACAATTTGCAAAAAATATGGTCCTTTCCGACATTTTTGGAATTTTCCATAATCCCTGAGTGTCTAACTTTCGTTTCAGTGATTGTTAGCAGCTGGACACATGGCGGGCCATTAAAATATCCTGTAGGCCACATTTGGCTCACGTTGAAGCGCATGTTTGACACTGTGGCACTAACCACTAGCTCAGTGAGATCGAATATTAAACACATCCTGGCAAGCAAGTGGAACGTTTTTGCTTGTACTGACTCTATAGCATGGCAACTCTTTAAATCTAATGAGTCACATTCATTAATTTATTCAGATCACTTATTCTCTATTTCAGTCTGATGTAGGCAATATGTAGTTCAATAGAAAAAAAGTATTCAGACCCTCGTCTATGATACTCGTAAATTGAGCTCAGGTGCATCCTGTTTCCATTGATCATCCTTGAGATGTTTCTACAACTTGATTGGAGTCCACCTGTGGTAAATTCTATTGATTGGACTGCCAAATTCTCTAAAACAACATTGAAAGTAGAAAACAACTTAAAGTAGAGAAATTAGCATTCAATTATCTGGCAAACAGCTCTGGGGGATATTCCTGCAGTCAGCATTCCAATTGCACGCTCCCTGTGGCATTGTGTTGTGTGACAAAACTGCACATTTTAGTGGCCTTTTATTGTCCCCAGCACAATGTGCACCTGTGTAATGATCATACTGTTTAAATCAGCTTCTTGATATGCCACTCCTGTCAGGTGAATGCATTATCTTGGCAAAGGAGAAATATTTAACAGGGATGTAAACAAATTTGTGCACAACATTTGAGAGAAATAAGCTTTTTGTGCATATGGAAAATATCTGGGATCTTTTATTTCAGCTCATGAAACATGGGACCAACAGTTTACATGTTGCGTTTATATTATTGTTCTAATATACACTACCAGTCAAAAATTTGGACACACCTACTCATTCCAGGTTTTTTTTTTTTTTTTTTTTTACTATTTTCTACATTGTAGAATAATAGTGAAGACATCAAAACTATAAAATAACACATGGAATCATGTAGTAAGCAAAAAAGTGTTAAACAAATATGTTTTATATTTGAGATTCTTAAAAAAGCCACCCTTTGCATTGATGACAGCTTTGCACACTCTTGGCATTCTCTCAACCAGCTTCATGAGGTAGTCACCTGGAATGCATTTCAATTAACAGGTGTGCCTTGTTAAAAGTTAATTTGTGGAATTTCTTTCCTCCTTGATGCGTTTGAGCCAATCAGTTGTGTTGTGACAAGGTAGGGGGGTATACAGAATATAGCCCTATTTGGTAAAATACCAAGTCCATATTATGGCAAGAACAGCTCAAATAAGCAAAGAGAAATGACAGTCCATCATTACTTTAAGACATGAAGGTCAGTCAATCTGGAACATTTCAAGAACTTTGAAAGTTTATTTGAGTGCAGTCGCAAAAACAATCAAGCGCTATGATGAAACTGGCTCTCAGAAGGACCGCCACAGGAATGGAAGACACAGAGTTACCTCTGCTGCAGAGGATAAGTTCATTAGAGTTACCAGCCTCAGAAATTGCAGCCCAAATAAATGCTTCACAGAGTTCAAGTAACAGACACATCTCAACATCAACTGTTCAGAGGGGACTGTTTGAATCAGGCCTTCATGGTCAAATTGCTGCAAAGAAACCACTACTAAAGGACACTAATAAGAAGAAGTGACCTGCTTGGGCCAAGAAACAGAAGCAATCGACATTAGACCGGTGTAAAATTGGGTGAATGGATGATCTCCACATGTGTATTTCCAACCATAAAGCATGGAGGAGGAGGTGTTATAGTGTGGGGGTGCTTTGCTGGTGACACTGATTTATTTAGAATTCAAGGCACACTTAACCAGCATGGCTACCACAGCATTCTGCAGCGATATGCCATCACATCTGGTTTGGGCTTAGTGGGACTATCATTTGTTTTTCAACAGGACAATGACCCAACACACCTCCAGGCTGTGTAAGGGCTATTTTACCAAGATCGAGAGTGATGGAGTGCTGCATCAGATGACCTGGCCTCCACAATCTCCCGACCTCAACCCAATTGAGATGGTTTGGGATGAGTCGGACCGCAGAGTGAAGGAAAAGCAGCCAACAAGTGCTCAGCATATGTAGGAACTCCTTCAAGACTGTTGGAAAAGCATTCCAGGTGAAGCTGGTTGAGAGAATGCCAAGAATGTGCAAAGCTGTCATCAAGGCAAAGGGTGGCTATTTGAAGAATCTCAAATATAAAAAATATTTTCATTTGTTTAATACTTTTTTGTTTACTACATGATTCCATATGTGTTATTTCATAGTTTTGATGTCTTCACTATTATTTTACAATGTAGAAAATAGTAAAAAATAAAAACCCTTGAATGAGTAGGTGTTTCCAAACTTTTGACTGATAGTGTAAATATAGTCCCTTCAGAAAGTATTCATACCCCTTGACTTAGTCCACATTTTGTTGTATTACAGCCTAAATTCTAAATGTATTAAATATTATTTTTTTCTCAACCAATCTATAGAATACCCCATAATGACAATGTAAAAACATGTTTTTAGAAATGTTTGCAAAAGTATTTAAAATGAAATACAGAAATATCTCATTTACATGATTCCACTGACATTATGGGGTATTGTGCGTAGGCCAGTGACACAAAATCTCAATTGAATCAATTTTAAATTCAGTATGCAACAACAAAATGTGGAAAAAGTAAAGAGTGGCTTCTGCAGATGTGTGTGTGTCTCTCTCTTTCTCAGGTATCTGCTGTGCGGTGGTGTCTTGTGTCTTCTCTCCCTCCGCCCCCCCCCAGTGGCCGAGTGTGGGACCCTGGTGGGGTCGGCCCCGGGGTGCCTCGGAGGCGCCTCAGCTCCCTGACATACTCCCTCTCCAGTAGGAGCTGCTGCCTCTGGTCCTGGAGCTGATCCTGGAGGCCCCTCAGGGAGTGGGCTCTCTGGATCAATCAATCAATCAATCAACCAACCAACCAACCAATGAATCAATCCATCAATTAATCAATCAATCAATCAATCAATCAATCCATCCATCTTCTGGCTATACCTGGATCAGCTGCTGCAGCTCTTCCCTCAGGCGCTGGTTCTCCAGGGACACCGCTCTAGTGTGGGACAATAGGCAGCGAGACGCCTCCTAGAGGGAGGAGAGGGGGTGGGGAGAGGTGGGTGTGGAGGTATGTTTGACCTGTGTGTGTGTACACGTGTTCTTGTGGACGTGCGTACGCATGCGTGCATGTCTATGTATGTGTGTGTTACTCACCCTATTAGCTGCGAGGGCTAGGGCCTGTATTTTTTGTTTGGCTTGTGCTTCGTACCTATAATAATAATAACAATAACAATAATAATAATAATAATAATAATAATACATTTAAACAAAGGAATTTACAGTCATGCACACACACTTTTTTTTCATTTACCTCTCCTTCTCACTGAGGAAGCCAGCCTTCAGGGCCTGCAGGGATTCAGAGTGACGGCAGTGCATACTGGTCACCTCCCTCTCTAGCTCTGCTATACGCCCCAGCTGCTGCTGCTGCAGGCTCTGTTACACACACACGCACACAATATTAAAGCACACACAAACAGCCATGTATATACAGTATACACACACACTCACATATGCATACAGCATGCAAAGGTACCACTAATCTGATATAAGATTATAATAAGATGTGCAATATTAGTAGATCATATATTCTGTACACTCGGTGGTGTGTGAGCAGAGGAGAGGAAAGGAGGGGGAAGAGAAGAGGGAGGAGAGGAGATGAGAAGGTAGAGGAGAGGACGAGAGGAGGCGAGAGGGGGGTGTGGGAGGAGAGGGCGAGGAAGTGTCATACTTTGAATTCTCGGAGCTCAGCAATCTCAATATTTAACAGCGCCAGTTCATTCTCCTTCTCCAGAATCTCCTTCTTCAGCTCTGTTAGGATAGGTTAGGTTAGAGTTAGCTTCCTGCTCTCTCCCCATTGGCCCCTTGCTCTTCCTGCTCACTCCCCATTGGCCAGTGGCTCTTCCTGCTCGCTCCCCATTGGCCAGTGGCTCTTCCTGCTCTCTCCCCATTGGTTCCTGGCTCTTCCTGCTCTCTCCCCATTGGCCCGTGGCGCTTCCAGCTGACTCACCATTGGCCTGTTCCTGGTATTTGTTCAGAGTCTCCTCCCTCTGCCTCTTCAGGGCCTCCAGTTCCTGGTGGTTCTGGTCGCTAAGGGTGACGATGGCACTCTGACGCTTCTGTGTCCGCTTGGACATGTACGACATGTACTCTTGCTGAGAGGGCGAGAGATGGGGCCAGGAGGAGAGGGATGAGGAATTATATGCATAGTCACTTTACCCCTACCTACATGTACAAATTATCTCGACTAACATGTACCCCCGCACATTGACTCTGTACCGGTACCCCCTGTATATAGCCACTTTATTGTTATTTTATTGTGTTACTTTTTATTTTATTTTTTACTTTAGTTTATTTAATAAATATTTTCTTAACTCTATTTCTTTAACTGAATTGTTGGTTAAGGGCTTGTAAGTAAGCATTTCACGGTAAGGTCTACACCTGTTGTATTCGGCACATGTGACAAATATTTTTATTTTTTATTTTATTGGGAGGGAGATGGGGAAGAGAGATGGGGAGAAAGAGAGAGTGTCTGCCTTTACTGTCACTCACGCTCTCCATGCGAGTCTGGTTGGCCTCATTCTGTAGGAACTCATTCTCACGCCGTCTGGTACAGCAGCGGAGTTAAGGGAAGTTAAGAAAGTATTGTAGAGAAGCTATAGCTATCACATGAACAGAGGCGGGGTGGGTCAATTCTAATTGAAGGCAGTAAAAAAAAGTAAAATGAAATTCCAATTCAAACATTAAAAAAGGGCATTTTTATATTTATTTTCAATGATAACTGTAATGTAGAAGCTATTTATTTCAAACGTTTCTACATTTTTAAAATTCAGACTACTTCCTGATTTAAATGCTTTCAATTCGAATTGACCCCAATCCTGGAACGGAGGGTAACAATTTTAAAGGGCCCTTCACTTTAACAAAAATGGATGCAGATCAATCCACAACAGTTTACAATTTAGCGGTCTTGTGTGTGACTGTGACAACTAAATCCTGGCTGTCTACCTGCAGTGTGCAAAGTGAAAGCTTTGGGAATCGTCTTGGACTGGGACGCCATCTGCCAGACTTTCTGAACAGGTGGTCTTGTGCAGATGGAATGTGGATCCGCAGTGTCCAAAAACCACTCCCCAACTTCCAGGAATAGTGTTCATAATGTGGCTTTATCAGTGCCTGCTCTAGTGAGGCAGAAACAGATTGGCCATAAAGGCTAATGCCAGTTCAAGCAAATGCCACATGTTCTGGTTCATCTTTAGGCCAGTGGGTCTGTCTAAATTGAATTGGCAGATGTGTTAGAAATGCCCGGGCCGATTTCTGGTTTCACTCTGTCACTGTGTTGAACTTTGTGATTTAAAGGATACAACTTTTCCACTTTCCTCTTGAGGTTGTTCAAGGTGTCGGTTAGCTTGTCATACCTGTAGGTTACAGGAAGTGAAGTACAGAGTCACATGATGACAGACAAGCAGGCAGAGAGGCAGGCAGAGAGGGAGAGAGAGTCACAGACAGATAGACAGGCAGGCAGACAGACATATCTCACTCTCTCTGTAGCAGAGCCTCTCTGTCAGACCCCGGGTGTTCTGAGTCCTCTACTCCTTGTCCAGCAGTATTCTGCTTAAGGGCAGACTCTCCTTTCTTCTTAGGGGGCATTCTAGTAGCCTACACACACACACACACACACACTTGTCATCTATAGGGACCATTCTTTGCAGAAACAGTGACATTTGATTGAATGCGCATCATCATCATGTTCCATATCGCTGCTTTGCTGCCCACCACATCTCACCAGTAGCCTAGAATGAGCCCACCATATCGCCGCCCACGCCCGTTAACAAACCCCTTACCAGAGAGCCCTGGGGCACCGAAGCGCTGCAAGTTAGTTAGCTAGCTAACCGCATCAGCATCAGTAATGATCACTGATCAGACTACACTCAACGCTGGCTGACTGTGCTGTTCGCATTTGTTGGCTTAGCTCTCTATCAAAATCAACTTTTCATTGGGTATACATATAGCTTTGAATACACCTAGCTATAAAGTCTAATTTGATAGCTACAAAAGTAGCAAACAGCTAGATGTCTCACCTTCACGTTTGTCAAAACGTTCCCTTGTTGCCAAGACAACAACACCGACAACACAATTCTACAGGGAAGTCACGTTTACATTTTTGTCATTTAGCAGACGCTCTTATCCAGAGCGACTTACAGTTAGAGTGCATACATTTATTTATTTTTTCTTCATACTGGCCCCCCGTGGGAATCGAACCCACAACCCTGGCGTTGCAAGCGCCATGCTCTACCAACTGAGCTACACGTTCCCTAAAAATGAAAATAATCAAGATCGTAAAGACAGCATTATACAATATAACTACATGGATCAGTCCTAGCCGGGAGTTACAATGTTACAAATGTTCCACTGACCGCATCTGCCCCGCTGCCGAACTTTGACCCATCATTATCACGGTTCAGGGATCTGATTTCACATTTTATTACCGTAAACATCCGCTAAAAAGCGCAACAAACAATCAATCGCCCTACTATCAAGTCTCCAGCGGGCGTATTTGCCAGACAACCGTTTACTTAGGCAATAAACGTTGCAATTTTTATTACATACAGCTCGTTTGTATAAATTAAACATAACTCGTATAAATAACAAATAGCGTGGCATTTTGAAGATTACACATTTTTCATATCGAAGCGCTCACAGACGACGAAATAGTATCCTCCAGTCCTCACACCTTGCATTTGCGTGCAGGAGGCGAGTGCGCCTGTGCGGGGGTTGAGCTAGCTGAGCAGGGAGAGCCAGCCGTGGTGGCACCGATGGAAAGGATGGAAATGGAGAACAACCCCGGTGTCTGACCTGAAAGACGGTACTAGGAAAGCGTTCGGTAGGCTAGGCTACTGCTCCGGCTGGTTGGATTGCTGGAGAGAGGCGAGGCGCACGGTGGAAGCAGGGGCGACACAGACAGAGAAAATGGACGGGAGCAGCGAGTTCCTTTGCGGGGTTGTGGAAGGTAAGGACAATGGTCGTCTGGTTATCTGCTTGTAAGATCTTGTAATTTTCACGGAGGAGAAGTTCAAATTAAATACCATCCATAAAGAAACACAATATTTTCTGTGTTTGTAAAGCTTTGAGATGTGGTAGCTATTGTAGCCCTGTGATCAATCAGGCATAACCTCATATCACAGACGGTTCACATATTCATCTTTATCATCATCAATAATCATCTTAAATTGTGTCATCATTGGTGTCCCAGTCAGCCATCTAGCAAGCCTGTCAGCCAGCCAGTCCAGTGGTTTCCAACTCCAGTCCTCGAGTATCCCCTACAGCACACATTTTTGTTGTAGCTTTTGACAAAAACACCTGAGGTTCGTTCAGTTCGCTTGGACGTTTGCTACGTTGCGGAACGGTTTGTACTGAAAGACACGTTTATCCAAAACGTACTTGAACAGACTTTGAGGTACATTTGCTCCCGTTTGGTGGCGAGGTGTGGCTTAAAGCAATGAGTGGTGTATTTAAAGAGCAGTGGCCAGTCACACTACCCAGCTAGCACATTTTGTTATTTTGAAGTTATGGGAACTTATGTTTTTGGTTTCACATTGGTTGTGAGAACGAAGTCATACGTTTCCTGACCTGTAAAACATAACGTTTTTTAAATGTTACAAAAACAGAAGTGAAAATGTAGCCTGTTCTGGAAACGTTTATTTTTAGGTTGCAGGGAGGTTCTGAGAACATTTTACTCTGGTTCTTAAATCTTCCTGGGAGGTTTTATTAACGCTCTGAGAACGGAAATTATAGGTTATTTTTAATAACTTTCTTAAAACTTTAACTGAATATTTCAGTAAGACTTTTAGTAACATGCTTGCTTATTATGATTCACTTTTTGTTTTACTCCAAGCACAGATGGGACACACAAAAATGTATTTCCTTAGACATTATTCATGCGAACACATTTCTTTTTTATTGTGACACGGCATCAGTGAGATTTGAACCTATGATGTTCTGTTCACTATCCATGGAATTAGTCCACTGCGCCACCATGTTTACACATACAAAGCTGTTGATTTTAGTCTATTCCCAGACCCCATTTCAAAGAAACAAGCACTCATTAAGATTAGGTGTGGCTAATTAGTGGGCGTGGCCAACACACCTGCTCACACTTATGGCCTAAACTCGCCATAGCTGAGCATGCGAGTGATTTATTTTAGAATACATTGTTTGAAATTATAATGACCCAACCGAAGCCGGCCGGAGGGTTGTCCACTTTGATGCCTAGCTCAATTAGAACATGTCTTTATTTTTGCGTTTTACTGCTGGCGCTGCAGTCACACAAAATAATCAAAATGTTGTCATTATTCACATTTTTTTTCTAGCTCATTTGAATTGGAAGAGGTAGCTAAGATTGAGGCTTTACATACATGCTAAATTAGACCAATTAATCTGCTTATGGAAAGACAACATCGCTATCAGCAAAAATGATTGGAGATATGTACTATCCTGCTAGCATAAGGTTACTGCTCCGCCTGTCCCATCCTTTCCACCTGCCTCGCTCTGCTTGCTACGCCCACCCGCTTCTTGTGAGTTTTTCACTTGAACAAGATAGAGGATAGAGAGAGTTTTGTTGATGCTGAGAGCAGAATGTATAAGTTTTTATGGAAAGTTTTCTTTATGTTATAAGAATGGAATTTAGAGCTTATTGATGTTAATGTGTACAATTACATACTGAAATTCCCACAGAAGAACGTTGTTTCTTAACATTCTCTGAACTATTTGAGAACATTCCCAATGTCAAACCAGTTGGAGAACGTTCCTAGAACATTACCAAAATTGAAATGAAATGTAACCATGTTTGAACTTTTAGGAAACGTTATGTTAAAGTAATGAAATACCAAGAAAATAAAGTTATTGGTTAAAGGTTGACTTTAGGAATGAAAAACTGTCAACCTCCGCCACTTTCTCAATTTTGAAACAGAAATGGGGTGTGCCTTTGGTGGTTCATCTGACGACGATAAGTTGCTGTACTCGCCAGAAAAAGTAACTGTATTAGTTGACACCGGAGGTTTTCTATCGTAGCTAGCTAGTTCGTTAGCTAAGCTAGCCACTGTAGCTAGCCAGTTGGCTAATGTTAGCTAACCTAAAGTTAGTAGCTAGTACAACCTCACTGTCTTTGGTACTACGAAGATGAGTTTACCTTAGCTGATTCCACTGCTCTAGTATCTGGGTGGAGAGAGAGAAGTAAAAGTCAGATTCACGTCTCCCCCTTTTCAGGGTCTGCTGCACCCACTCCTCCAGTATTTGTTGACGTCATTTGAGGATTTATTTTTAGACGGAAGCTGTTGAGATCGGTAAGAAATGGCACTTCTGTAGCCAAATCTCGTTCATTCATTTTGTTTTTAAGCATTAAATGACATGTTATGATGGTGCATTGATCACTTATACAGTTTAAAGCTGTTATTTTTGCCCAAAGTCATTCCTTTTTAAATTCCTTAAATGTGCTGAGAATGTTCCAAAACCAAGCACCTATCCTGCACCATTCCCAGAAAGTTGTGGGAAGGTTGTATGCAAAATAACCATAGGACAACCATGCTCTCACCAAGCTCTAAGAAACCTATGGTTCTCAGAATGTTATGTTGCTCCCATTTCTATATGAAGAATTGTATGGCATGCTCTGTGCTGTATTTGCAGATGAGAGGTTGCCTTATAGGCAGGAATTTGTTAGTGTGGTTGAAGTAGCCTTAACGCTGTGTTCACCATTCCATTTCATTTCACCAGTCTGGCATTCCTCCTCAATAAAACGGTCTGTAATGAGGGACATTATTCAAAACTAAATTGTCTGTGATCGGATCACCTTTAACCAATCAGAGGATGAATAGCCTAATTCAAAGCACAGTGATTGAGCATGTGGGATTTTGTCCTAAACACATTGTTTCTGAGGATGCTGATTGGACCGGTCATTTTTTAACTTATTCCAAACGCCCGTCTATTGGAGAAAGGCCAGACTGATATGTCAAGTGAAATAGAATGGTGAATGCAGCGATCAGGCTGGTTCCACCAGGGTAAGAAATCTATATGGCCACTTCACCGATACGTGTCTGTGAACAATGTACTAATATGAATATAGGTCTGAATGGCAACACTGCTTAATTGTACACTAGCATTCATTTCTCTCTCTTTCGTGTGTGTCTGTTTCTCAGGGTTCTATGGGAGGCCCTGGTCTATGGAGCAGAGGAAGGTCCTTTTCCAGTGGTGAGTACTTAGTGACATAAAGGTGACGTACAGAAAGGTAACATACAGATGTAGGATCTTAATTTGATCACCTTGTTGCAGGATAACTTTCCTGCAATGCATGACATTTTAAACGTGTTGTGTATTAGAGGTTTAAAAAGGCTTCTGAAGATTGTAATTTCCTGTTGCTGCAGGATAATTTTTCTGCTGTAGCAAACTAGCTCAAAGTAAGATCCTACATCTGTATGGTTGACATAGGAGGACATGGAGAGGGATAAGGAGGGAGTGAGTATGATCCGCAGTTGAAACAAAAACAAAGCGGTGGTTGACTTTGTTTTGGTAAAAAGCTGAGGGATGGGCCAGGAGAAATGTAACAACTCTCAAATGTATAGACCGAGCTATTGGTGCAAGGACTCCGTAATATCAAAATGATTTCCAGAAACTGAGATTGACACTGGATCAATAACACTCTCTCCCTTTCTGTCTGTTAGGATGCAGAGGTGGGGGTTGAACACCTATCTGTACGGTCCTAAAGATGATCTGAAACACAGACTACTCTGGAGAGAGGTCTACTCCCCTGAAGAGGAGGGTAAGGGATCTCCTCATCCCTCACTCTATCCATCTCTTCATCCCTTCATTTATTTGTTTACATCTCTCTTTTAGTCCAACTTCCCACCCCTCCATCTCCCCATACCCTCATCTCTCCTCGCTCTGTCCTTTTCTTAATCCCTCCATCTCTCTCACTATTGCTTTGAAGTAAATGTATCTCTCCTGGTGCAATCCTGGTTCTCTCCTCTCCTCCTCGCTCCTCCTGCAGGTCAGTTGCGTACTTTGATAGTAGAGTCAGAGAAGAGAGGTCTGAGGTTCGTGTACTCTCTGTCTCCTGGTCAAGACATTGTCTTCTCTTCTTCCTGTGACCTCTCCCTGCTTAAACGCAAGCTACGACAGGTACACACACGCACCTACACAGACTTGCATGCGCACACAGGCATGCGCACGCACGCACACCTACACCCCTGCCTTACTCTCTCTCCTCTCTGTAGGTGTCAGAGTTGGGTTGCCAGGCGTTTGCGATCCTTTTTGATGACATAGACCACTCCCTGTGTCAGGCTGACAGTCAAGCCTTCTCCTCATTCGCTCACGCCCAGGTTTCAGTGGCCAATGAGATCTACCGATTCCTGGGAGAACCGCCTGTCTTCCTGTTCTGTCCAACAGGTGTGTAGTTGAGAT